TTCCAGCTCACAGGACTCGCGGGTTGTGCTCGTTCAGCTGTAGGAATGCTGCTTATCTGGTGCACACAGGGCACTGAAGGGAGTGCTGCGAGGGGTTAAGGGCAAACTTGTTTAAACCCCCAAAAAGCCCAACCTTGTTTACTAGAAGTCATAATATCTGCTCCCCATAATTTAAATAAGGAACAGACAAGACAGGCCATTAGACATTCAAACACCTGTGAGAGGCACCTGAGCAGGAGCCTAGTGTGGGACCTACAGGGCAAGGGGCCGTCCGCAGAGGGTGACCTGGCTCTGGGCGTTGGAGCCTAAGGGAAGCGAGGAGGGCAGCCAGTGGGAGCTAGTGGGGGACCCGGGTCAGGGGCTGAGGTGGTGAAAAGGGATGCACGTGAGGGGGGGAGGGAACGACTGATTAAATAAGTAAAAGTACTGAGGATGATGGGAGCAGGGTTCTTATTGTCAGAGAAAGGAGTTACCAATCTAGAGAGAGAGAAAAATAGAATGAACCCTGTGGTGCTGAACCAGAATTAAAGACACTGAAATGAGGGAATTCCCTGGCAGTCCAGTGGTTAGGACTCGGCCCTTTCGCTGCCGGCGCCCGGGTTCGACCACTGGTCGGGGAACTAAGATCCCATAAGCTGCCTGATGCAGCCAAAAAAAAAAAAAGATACTGAAATGAGCTCATGGGTTTCAATATATGCAGATACAGTAAAAACAGACATGAATGAGTCTGTGTACACATATATATGCATCACCCGCAAATACTCCTGAGCTCTGTGCCCTGAGAGTGACCAGAGCAGTACCACCTCAGTGGTAACGAGCATACCCGGGACCAAGAACTACTCTAAGTGGAGCCAGGGCTCCTGGAGAAATGGCTGATTCCGGCCCGGCAGCAGAGGGGAGAATACGAGCCTGGAACATGTTATGGCAGCAAGGAAGGGAATGCTCAAAGGCTGATGGAGACATGTCAGAAGGACATGAGCCAGCTTCAAGGGTCTCACGCTAGCCAACGCGGGGACAATTTGAGCGTCGAAATGAGTGATAATAGTAACTGTGATAAGATAAGACTCCATGCATTCCATGAATCTATACTGACACAAGATACGAAAATGAATAAAAGGGAAATTGAATGAGGGATAGTCTCAGAGTACCTCCTACAGAATACTTATTACAAAGGGAAAAGGAGCAATTTTAAAAAGGAGGAGTCTGGCAGACACTATCTCACTTGAGTGATCAAAGTTCAAGTCATCAATAGGGGACAGAGCAAATGTGGGCACCCCTGAGCAGCCTCTGTGTGAGAAGAGGCGTTGCTTCATTTTGAGGATGTGTAGCAGAAATCTAATCATGAGGAAACACCAGATAAACCCAGATGGAAGGACTTGCCTGTGATCTTCCAGATGGTCAAGGTCATGAAAGTCAAGGAAAGACAGGGGCTTGTCACAGATGAAACAAGACCGAAGAGATGTGATAATTAAACGCAACAAGATTTTGACCTTTTTGTCCTTTTCTATAAAGGACATCATTGGGACAACTGACAGAGCCTGAAAGAGATCTGCGGATTCCATGGTGGGTGGGGTATCAGTGTTCCCTTCCTGACCGTGACAGTTGTCCTGTGGGTAAAAAGGAGACTGTCCCTGTTTGTTGGAAACGCACTCAAGTGTGCAGGGGTCACGGGGCATCGTGGCAGCAACTTACTCTCTAATAGTTCGGGGAGAAAATGTATTTACGTGTTCTTGGAACATTTATGTGAATCTGTGATTGTTTCAAAATAAAAAGTTAAACACACACAAACAAACCTATGAGAACAAACATAGACCACTCAAACTACAGTGGCTTTGTAAACCAAATGGGATATAAGCGTTTGGGTTACAGAGTGCATAGAGGGTAAAAGAACTAGAACAGAAATATACCACACGCTGGCTCTTATGAGAAAGGAAAGTGGTGGGAAAGATAACAGATAAAATGTTGACCTCTACCTGGGTTAAGGAGTGACACCATGAAGATCCACAATGAGATATTCCTTTGAAATAATATGATTCCCAAAATCTGCTGTCAGCAAACAGAGTCTTTCAAATACAAACAAGTGTAAAAGGATATCATGTCCACTACAATGGGATACCACTTCGCAACCAACAGGATGGCTATTATAAAAACAAAACAAAACAAACACAGAAAATAACAAGTGTTGAAGAAGATGTGGAGAAACTGGAACCCTTGTGCACTGCTGGTTAGAATGTAAAATAGTGCAGCTGCTGTGGAAAACAGTCTGGCAGTTCTTAAATATACAATTACCATGTGATCCAGCAATTCCACTCCTGCGTATATACCCCAAATAACTGAAAGCAAGGTCTCAAACAGATATTTGCGCAGATATTAGCATCATTATTCACAATAGCCAAAAAGTGGAAACAACCAAATGTCCCACAATGGGGCTTCCCTGGTGGCACAGTGGTTGAGAGTCCGCCTGCCAATGCAGGGGATGCGGGTTCGTGCCCCAGTTTGGGAAGATCCCACATGCCGCGGAGCGGCTGGGCCCGTGAGCCATGGCCGCTGGGCCTGCGCGTCCGGAGCCTGTGCTCCGCGGCGGGAGAGGCCACAACAGTGAGAGGCCCGCATACTGCAAAAAAAAAAAAATGTCCCACAATGAATGGATAAACAAAATGTGGTCCATCTATATGATGGAATATTATTCAGCCATAAAAAAGAAGCAAATTCTGATACATGCCACAACATGGGTGAACCTTGAAAACATTATATTAAGTGAAATAAGCCAGTCACAAATGGACAAATATTGTATAATTCCACTTATATGAGGTACTTAGAGCAATCATTCATAAAGACAGAAAGTAGGATGGTGGTTACCAGAGGCCAGGGGAGTGGGGAATGGGGAGTTAGTGTTTAATGGGGAGTTAGTGTTCAGTTTAGGAAGATGAAAAAGTTCTGGAGATGGATGGTGGTGACGGTTGCACAATGATGTAAATGTACTTAATGCCACTGAACTGTACACTTAAAAATGGTAAAGTGGTAAATTTTATGTTATGTATGTTTTATCACAATAAAAAATGTTCCAACTGTGTGTATGGGGAAATATCACGTCCTTACAGCATTTGGGTGAAACAAATGTAGGTTTAAAATTGAATTTCTCTTTCAGTCACCAGATAACTACTGGAGGCTGGCACCACACCCATAGCCTTATATGTAAGAACTCACACAGTCTTCAATAACCGTGAGCTAAGTGTTGTCACTGTCCCCAAGTCACAGAGAAGGACTGGGGACAGAGGAAGTTTCAGTCACATGCCAGGGTCATGGAGCCAGAGGTAAAGCGGAATTCAGACCCTTTCACTGCTCTCTGCCACCGTCCATGTCAAGTACACGTCAATCTTGCACCAAAACCGTGTTCAGAAATAAACATACTTTTGTACCACATATGTGCTTTCCACAAGCCCCAGCATACTCAAGTGCTACGCTCCAAAGTGACACATGACATTCAAATAATTGATCTCAAGAGACCAACTCACTCTGGACTTCCCTGGTGGAGCAGTGGTTAAGAATCCGCCTGTCAATGCAGGGAACACGGGTTTGAGCCCTGGTCCGGGAAGATCCCACATGCCGCGGGGCAAGTAAGCCCGTGAGCCACAACTACTGAGCCTGCGCTCTAGAGCCCGTGAGCCACAACTACTGAGCCCGCGTGCCACAACTACTGAAGCCCTCATGCCTAGAGCCCGTGCTCCACAACAAGAGAAGCCACCGCAATGAGAAGCCCGCACACCGCAATGAAGAGTAGCCCCTGCTCGCTGCAACTAGAGAAAGCCCGCCACAGCAACAAAGACCCAATGCAGCCAAAAACAAAAAGAGAGACACCAACTCACTCTAAGAAATCAAGTGACAACCCTTCTCTGATGATTTTGGTTTAAATGATGTCTTCACCATATTTGTGGCTTCTCTTGTAAACCATCTTCAAATTGCTATTAACCTTGACCAAGTGATCAAGGTCAGTGGTCCTATCAGTGATAGGACTTACTGACAGCACATACCTCCGACACGATGCACTGAGGACACAACGTTGCTTCTGTGCGATTCCTGCCACAGATGCACAACCTCAGTCTAATTATGAAGAAACAACGGACGAACCACACTGAGGGACTCTATAAAATAACTGAGCAGGTCTCAGCAAAAGTATGAAAGCCACGGATGATGAGGAACAATGGAAGAAACTTCATAGATTGGTGGTGACTAAGGAGACACGATGACTAAATGCAGTGTGGGATCCTGGACCAGAAAAAGGGCATTTAGGACACAACCTGGGGAAATTCAAATGGGACCTGTTGCTCAGTTACAGAGCATTGTACCAACATCAATTTCCTGGTTTAATCACTGCACTATGGTTCTGAAGGTGTTGCCATTAGAAGAAGCTGGGAGAAGGGTATACTCTCTGTACTAATTTTTCTTCCTTCTTTTTAAAAAATTAATTAATTGAATAATTTTTGGCCGCGTTGGGTCTTTGTTGCTGCGCGTGGGCTTTCTCTAGTTGCAGCGAGTAGGGGCTACTCTTCATTACGGTGCACGGGCTTCTCATTGCAGTGGCTTCTCTTGTTGTGGAGCACGGGCTCTAGGCGCGAGGGCTTCAGTAGTTGTGGCTCACGGGCTCTAGAGCACAGGCTAGATTTTGATTATGATTCTACTTTCCTAATTCTGTCATCTCAGATCCTTTTGTAAAACAACTGAATGCCACAATGGCTCTGAGGTCTTGCACCTAGAATGCAGCTGCTTATTACTCACTGGCAACAGTATTTCTCTAGTTACAAACTGCAAAATAAATGAGTGTGATACACCGGAAAGCAGGGCTCTGACAAAGCAGAAATGTACCAACTGAACCATCGCTGCCAGAGAGGGATGTGACGAGCAAGATGGCCCACGACGCACGTTAGGGCTGAGCCAGGACCAGAGGTGCGAGGTTGTTGTGGTCCTGATGCCACACAAGAAGTGTCTTCTCAGCGGCCTACCTGCCTTTTCCTTGATCTCACAGGGCACACTGAAGAGAGCAGGCTTCATCTGATGACAATTCAGAGCATGCTTTCTGAAAGAGAGGTGACAGAGGAGCAGGTGAGAAGGAGAAGAGTCATTCTGTGCATGAGAGTAATGATCCTCTATACTGAGTCTGCCAGGTCTGTTGAAAAACCCTCTTACGAAAGGACAGAACCGCAGCATTTCAAATGATCGAGCTTCAAAATTGTCCACACAGCTAAGAACTAGGTCAACGGGTTTTCCTTCTTCTAATCCACCATTGCTTATTCTATTCATGAAACGTTGCAAGTTTTCTACTGTGGTTACATTGTAGTTGTGTACTTCGAAAAGAACATCAGGATTAATGTTCCTCAAAGTATGTTCTGCTGCTTGAACTTTACTTAACCCTGCTTGATGAGGTTGGAAGAAAAGTCTATTCATATTGGCCAGTTCTACCTTGTCATAGTCAAAGAGTAGCAACTTACCAATGCCACATCTTGTCAGCATTTCAGCAGTCACACTGCCAACTCCACCAACACCTACTATTGCTACAGCAAAGGTACGGATTTTCTCATAGTAGCTTACAATTCCCATTCGTTTCAATGCCATCAGGCGGCATCTCCACCGCTCCCGCGGGCCTCTCAGCCCAAACTGCATTTTAAAAAGATCACTGTGGCTGCTCTCTAGAGACTGGGCTGGAAGGCAAATATGGAGCCAAGGATACCAATCTGGAGGCTATCACAGCTGGAATAGTCCAGAAATGCTGTTGGCTTAGAGTTATGGTAGTAGACATAAAAAGTAGATAGATCTTTGGTTTGGGGAACAGAATCAACAGGACCTCCTGATAAACTGGTGTAGGGTTTTAGGGAAAGAGGAGGTTCTAGGATAACTACTAGCTTTAGGTCTGAGCAACTGGATGGATGGAAATATCATCAACTTCAACAGGGCAGACTGGAGGGCAGCAGGTTTGGGGGAGGAGGGTCTGGAAAGGAGGGTTGTACTTTGATCAGGTTTCACCTGAGATCCCTATGAGCTACCCAAGAGGAGGTATCAGGTAGGCAGCTGGCACATGGACATGGACTCAAGGCTGGAGATAAACAATACAAAGATGGAGTCCTGGGCATAGAGATGGCACTTTAAGCCACAAGACTTGAGGGAATCACTATAGGACAATGTAGACAGAGAGCGGCCCAGGCCCCAGGCTTAGGCATCTGTACTTGTAGAGGTCAAGCAGATGAGAAAATCCTGCAGAAGAGACTGGGACCCAAACTGCCAGTGGGGAGGGACCAAAAACAGTTTCAAAGACAGAAGAGTAATCTGTGAGAAATGCTTCTGAGAGGTGAAGTGGGAGAAGAGACCTTGGATTTAGCAACATGGAGGTCACTGGTGACTCAGCAGAGTGAGAAGGTTGGGAGAAGGTGGGTGGAGATGGGAGAGGAAGTGGAAGTAGCAACCACAAACTCTTTGACACTTGATCCCAAAAGAAAGTAAAGAAATGTAGCAAGTGCTAAAAGAAAGGGTGTGTATTAATCATGTTTAAAATTTTCTATCTTTTATGATGCTTTGACATCCTGGGGCCAGGAGAGACTGCCCTTCCCAGGGCTAACTAAATCCAGATATAGCAAACAACTTGCCTGAGAGCGTGCCTTTCATATGCAAACTGAAATCCAAAGGCCACACTCCCAATACCTCTTTTATCTAACTCTCAGCACCAGTCAACATGCCTACACACACCCCACACACCCCCACACCCCCGCCCCGCTTCCCTGGTGGCACAGTGGTTAAGAATCCACCTGCCAATGCAGGGGTCACGGGTTCGAGCCCTGGTCCGGGAAGATCCCACATGCTGCGGAGCAACTAAACCCGCGAGCCACAACTATTGAGCCCGTGTGCCACAACTACTGCAGCCCGCGCGCCTAGAGCCCGTGCTCCTCAGCAAGAGAAGCCACGGCAGTGAGAAGCCTGTGCACTGCAACGAAGAGTAGCCACCCACTCACCGCAACTAGAGGAAGCCCATGCGAAGCAACAAAGACCCAATGCAACCAAAAATAAATAATAAATAAAGAAATAAATTTAAAAAAGAATACAAGGAAAGAGAATGAAGTCGGCTGCTCTGCTTCTTAAAGGGGATTCTAGGAATGATTATTCCCAGGTCAGCTTCCTGCTTATAAAACATCTTACTTTCGATACAGTATAAAGCACCTTTGAATGAATACAAAGTAACTTCACAGAATGTTTTTGTGGTTTATTATGAAAAGTAAACAAATGTCTAACCTTTAAGCATGTTCTTGGCCTAGAGGTGATCAAGCGGCTGACAGCAAACCATCAGTGATTACATAAAGTACGACAGACTACATCATTCATCAAAGGGGATGAACTAATTTCTGTGACAGACATATCCTAAGGTGACCCCCACTGAGTATAATCCTGTCTCCTTGAGATTGGGCAGAATCTGTGACTTGCAAAGTGGCAAAAGTGATGGTATATAGTCTGGCAAAAGTGATGGTATATAGTCTCGCCCGTGGTTATGTTACATTATGACTCCACCTTAGTGGACTGGGGAATGTCACCTGCTGGCCTTGAAGCCAGCTGCCATGTTGTGAGAGGGTCGGTAATGGGGAACCGCAGGCAGCCTCTTGAGGCTGAGAGCAGACCCCCAGCTGACAGCCAGCAAGAAAACAAGAACTTCAGTCCTGCAACTGCAAGCAAGGGTTCTGCCAACAACCCTACGAGACTGGAAGATGATCCTGAGCTTCAGATAGGAACACAGATCAGCCAACACCTTGACCGAAGCCTTGTGAGACCCTGAGCAGAGGACCCAGCTCAGCTGTGCCCAGATTCCTGCCTGTGGAAACTGAGATCAGTTTTAACTGTTTTAAGCTGTTAGGTTTGTGGTAATTTGTTACATAGTGACAGACAGCTGAGATAACTGAACAGATTGTAAGGCAGTGAATGGGGACTGTGGGGAGAAAAAGAAGGTCTGTGCTCGCACCTTTAGCAAGTACCTGACATGTTCTATGCAACCAAGTATCTACATTAAAACAAAACAAAATGTTAATGTTTATGAAGAAGCAAAATTCCAATGAATGAGAAATCATAAATCTTTTAAATAAATAAAAGAAACTTCCGAGGATAATCTAAATTAAAAAACAAATTTGCGAATATCCTTTTAAAACCAATGCTAAACAAAACCAATCTGTAACAAAACTATTGAGAGTCACATAGAATCATGCCAGAAAATGAAAGCATACAGCTTTATCATCCTCCAACCCCACTTATTCAATATTTATAGGACAAACATTTATTGAGGCACTAGTATATACCGGTCACTGTATAAGGAGAAAGGAATGTGGGAATGAATAGAACATAAGTCACATCCTGGCTTCTACTAACTGTGTACTGTAGCTTCTAATTTTAGCTGTAATTTACTTTTCCAAATTATGGAAAAATCTGCTTTCCTGAACAAGGTATTATTATATTATATTTATTTATTTTGGAGGTATTTATTTATTTATTTTTTACTGAAGTATAGTTGACTTACGTTACATTAGTTTCAGGTGTACACCATAGTAATTCAATATTTGTATAGCTTATACTCCAAACAAAGTTATTATAAAACATTGACTATATTCCCTGTGCTGTACATTACATCCTTGTAACTTACTTATTTTATACCTAGTAGTTTGTACCTTTTAAGCCCCTTCACCTATTTAGCCTCTCCCCCAGCCCTCTCCCCTCTGGCAACCACTAGTTTGTTCTCTGGATCTGCGAGAGATTTCTTTTGTTTGTTTGCTTGTTTCATTTTTTAGATTTCACGTATCAGTGAAAACATACACTATTTGTCTTTTTCTATCTGACTTATTTCCTGAGCAAGGTATCATTTTAAATTACTGAGGAATTTGATTTAGAGATATATTCAGAGATCTTATCCTTTAGAATAAGATACTTCTTGAAAAAGCTTCCCTGAGAGCGGCAATGATTCTAATACCTCAACAAAAGATGAAATCAAATCCCCTTAATTATTCTCATTTCTAGAAGGATTGTTTTAGCTGACAAATCCAGTCACCTCCTGGAGACAGACCTAGGTAAAGAACAAAAATTAGAAGACATGTTTCCTACCCTGAGGAAATCAAATCTTGATGGAAAACCTAGAAATTCACAGAGGATGCCAAGCTCCAGAAAGGAATGCAGCCCAGGAGACAGACGCCCTGGCATTTTAAAATAAGCTTCTTTGTAAAAGTAAAACTGGGAAGAATCAAACTGTTGTGGGTACCATCAGTCATCTGTAGAGTCATTCTAAAAGCAAACCTACAAACAATGAAACAAAAACAGCTAAGTAAATGGGGGTTGAGAATACGTACTGATACACAAATTCAACCATAAAAATTATTAGTTATTTTAGCAAAATGAAGCCTTGGATCAGGAGGCAGTTTTGGTAACAGGAAACGAGGATAGTTATTTAATACAACACAAGAAAAACTCTGCAGGACTTGAATGAAATGCAACCTTTAAATGGAATAAATTTAAGTCTGTGAAAATCTCATTATGATGTCCTTATTTCCTAATCTGCCCATGGATTGGTCACAATCAACACTATTGTTAAATTTCTTACTCAAAACCACAGAGAGATGAAAATCTCTCCTGAGTAAAAGGTGAAATGGCTTCTCACTGCCTGCTCCAAAAAACACAAACCACTTAGCAAGGCATTCGAGGCTCTTCACCAGAGTCCTGCTGACCTTCTCCCCCCTCCGGACTTGGGGAAGTTCTACTCCTCTGTCTAGTCCAAGACTCTAATGGGTTGGCCTGTCCTAGCCTGGATTTCTTACCCCCTCCTTTCTTCCGTTTAAAGCATTTACCACGCCTGGCCCGGACATGATGAAGGCCTCAACTTACTCATTTCAGAAATTCCAGGCCAGCACCATACTTGGCACACTAACTGAGCAAAGATTTGTTGAACTGAACTGAAGGAAAGGTAGAGGCTAGAGATGTGCCACTAGCAGAGTAGAAATGAAGAGTTTGAAAGCAGAGCTCTGACGTCTCTAGACTTAAGTGGGGCAAGTGGAGAATCAAAAA